TTGAGGTAACGGCACCTACCGATCGTTTCGAAAGTTGTTGAGCATCGATATATAAAATTGATCGAGATAAAAATAGGATGAAAATAGGATCAGGACGGAGGAATCAGGTATCCACCTCAAAATTTTGTCTGGTGGGTAGCGCCAGCTCTGACAGCTTGCCCGCACGTTGGATCCCCGTGTCGTATAGCACGCGTACCAGCTTGTGCGTTGACATTGTGTGCACGGCGGCGAGAGGAAGGCCAGGGCCCTCGCAGTACAGTACATAATAACCCTGCGCGCCTTCTTCCACCGACGGACTGACTGAAGCACCGAAATGCGTGCAATTCGTGTAATAGCGTCTGCAGTGTGCAACGAATTCGAACCTGTTAATTTTTTACACTACCAAGAATCGATCTATCTAGCATTTTTTTTTTTTCTTTCTTTTATGGGACTTGCCTACTGCTCCAAAGGACATCTCCAAGATCGCACGTCACGCATAAGGGTTCGAAGTGACGAGGATCGTCCGCGGCGGGATCGCGCACCACGTAGAGATGTCTCTGGCCAGGTCTCTTTTCTCTAGTGCCCAAATAATAAACGAGATGCGCCTTGGTGTCCCATGCCAAGATCTCACTCACCTGTTTTAAGAAACATTTGCACGATTAAATATTTTTTCCTCTCTTATTCCTTACACGTTATATTTTTTTAATCACTATATTTTCGATATTTCTGTAATCATTCTATATGTCCATTAATCATAATTTTTGGTTTATAATTAGCCTTCAAATAACCTTCCGTCTAATAGTAGTTTAATAATAAATGAAACAAAATTATAAGTGAAATTCTATTCTAAAATTTAATATGAATATGAATGAAAATTTAATTTATTACGAATATAAATGTGGTGCGAATTATCTAGGCTGGGTTTTATAATTTGCGATATATCGATTCTAAAACCCGCTCACCTCGTAACGACCATGGGAGAGAACCGCTATTCTCTGCTGCGTGAGTGTGACGTGTTTTATATGCGTGAAATGCTCCTTGTCGCCTTCCTGCACCATGGCCAGTAGCAGAAAGCTATCTCCGTCCGGAGCGAAGAGAGGATGCGGTTGGGCGTCCAGCCACAATCCTTCGGGTGCCCGCTCCGAGTGGGTCTCCTCACATTCCCACGTGGGAGCGCGGCAGGCCGACACCATAGACAGATTTTGCATCCTCGTCATCCAGACGACGGCGACCTGCGAAGCGTCGTCGCCGACCCAGCCGGCCGATATCAGATAGTAATCTCTAAAAATATTCGCGAAAACGAATTTCATTAATGTGAAGTCATGAATGAGCGATTTAGCAATTTTTCGACTTTTGATTTTCTAATATCGACTCTATATTTTCTAAAAATTACTCGATATACTATTTATATCTCGCAATTAGCACGCAATTATCCCTTCGGTAATTTGACGTACTGTTCGTTCAAGAACGGCGGTGGCTTCAGCTTCATTTTCATTGGCCACGTGACGTTCCCGGTGTAATTCGTCGAGCTTACGTTGCCAAGATCCATGACCCACAATTCGACCTCCGGATTGGGCGAGCCCGGTCTCGGATACCTGACCGATCTGGAAGGTGGAAAAGATTTGGACGCGCCCAGGGGACTCGGACTGGCTCCGTCTTGACCCGGCGTGCCGAACCAAGGGAACTCCAACGCGGACACTTTGGTGTCATTGAACACCGCATAAAGGATATGCGTGCCGTCCGGACTGGGCCAGATCGCTTGCGGCCTCGGCAGCACTTCTTCCTGATACAACCAGTCGGGCACGCCGTTGTAAATTATCCCGGGTACGCCTGTATCGGTCAGGCGAATGTCCTCCGTCCCGGCGGGTCCCATTCGAAGAAAAATGTCGTTCTCGGAGATCATCAGGATGCCGGACGTGTTGCCCAACCACGTGGCATGTTGCAGTCGCGTCTGGTGCATGTGTCGCGACGCTTGCAAGCGAAGAGGTGTGTGATGGCTGGTAAATAAAGGATCATGACACAATAGAACATATATTTAATGATTTTAAGATTCTATAACACACTTTGTTGTATATATATATATATATATATATATATATATATATATATATATAATAATAATATATATATATACAAATATAATTTAAAAAACACATCTAATGCATAAAAATAATAACAGAAGATTGAAATGAATGAAATGGAGAAGAAAAAGAACGATTAAAAGTCATAAATTAAAAAATTATCTTTGGATAGTAAATTTATTTCTTTTTTTTTTTTTAATTAAATATATCGATTAAGATTACGATTAAGATTACGCTGATTGTTGTAATATTCATAGTAACTTACTCGTTCGTGACGTCATAGACGGTGTAAAGAGCGGTGAAAGTGTTCTGAAAGACCTGCAACATTTTTACATATGTATCATGCGAAATTTAAGAGGACCGGAAAACAAAGGGAAGTCCATAGTGCCCGGAGTGAATGTGTTTTCGATAGCGATAATCGACGGCTAACTGCAACAAAATTGCGCCGCGTCGTATTACAACGTTCGAGCGTTTTATCGATAAACGACGGATCAGAGAGTTAGGATGCAGCTGCCGCGCGAAAAACTTTCCCCGAGAGGCTTCCACGTTTGAGCTACTTACCGGCTTGACATTGTGTCTGAACAATACATAACGCAGGTCGGAGCTGCATTCGTAGCCCTGAACGTTCAGTTGTCTCTGAAAGCAACGTTTAATAAAGATTATATTACCGTCTGTGCGATATCGAGCAGAAATCCGGTTTCAACATCACATAATTACATTCGAGAGGCAATTGCGTTTTCTGTTAAAAGCTTTAGCGGAGTTTTACTTTTATCTTAAATCGTAAAAATCCTCTCCTTTCCAATCTCTTAACCGCCAATCTCTCGGGCCCGATTTCTGCTCTGGCGTTAATTTTTCGTATGCATTAATAATTTTCTGTACATACAGATAGTATTTGATTTTATCTTAAGAAAACTCATTGAAAAATATTTCGTTGACATGAAACATTTAATATCCGGCGTCCATATTTTTTGCAAAACTTATTCCACTTACGATTTAAAGGTTGAAAAAGAACGTAAATCTAAATTAAGAGATCAAAACGCATATTCTCATATGCGCGTAAAAGAGGAGTTGTTTTATTATTAACATCCATCGCGTCCGAACACCTGTGTTCTCATTCGAATTTCACTTATTCGTTTCGTTTCTTCATTTTTCCTTTTCGCGAGAGATGCTTTTTATCTCGTTTCTAGAATAAAGTTCACGATCATTTTTCACTAACTACTTTCAGGTCGTTCTACTTTCAGGTGCAAGTTTTTGTGGCATTTCGTGCCACAGATATCGCATGAATGTATTGCGGCTGGTAGTCGATACTTGTATCCGAAAGAACGACGAGACGAACGAGCCGGACGAGCATGACGCGTGTCCTGGTGGATCGGATCAATGCGTCGTATAAACTCGTCTATACCTCGCCTAGCGGGGTCCGAGAGGGAAAAAGAACGCAGATTTGGAACCTGTCCAGACTAAGTGGATCGGCTCTCATGCGCACGCATACTTATCACCGCTACCGAGATCGATCACTCTTTCTGTCTCGTTATAAGCCGCTTCCCTTCCCGCTTCTCTCTCTCTCTTTTTTTTTTCTCTCATTGCCCGCGTCAGAATGCGCAGTGGAGACATCCTGTCATATTTCATCTCGTGATTTACATTTCCGTGAATTTTTTTCACGAATGTCCCACGTTAGACGCGCGTTAGAAATTCTCGAGATGATATTATCAGGCGAGAATGCTTAATCGTCGCTTTTCGCCCACCTCTCGTCAATTCTATAATCAAAATACCATCAGATACAAATGTGGTATTGTTGAATCCAAAGTGCAATAACGTAGTATCTCAGAGTACCTCATATTTATCCCGCGCGCGTGTGCCTGCAGGGCATACACAGGGCAGTGGGATGCTCCGGATTCCATTTTACATGCGGTTTAGTCTTTGTTTCGCAACGCACCGCGAGGCACACTCGGTTCTAGTTTGCCGATCGGCAGAACAAAACCAACTTTCGATAAAGGGTGCGACTTACATTCCCCTGTCCTATATAAAAATTCTCTCCGTATATAGGAACGCTCGGAAACATCGTTCGACTGTTTGTCTCAATTAGGAACCCACCGGGAGCTCGGAAGGAAGAGAGAAAGAGCAAGCTGAAAAAGTAGTATTTTACGTGAAAATACATGTCTTCTTGTATCCTCGACCAAAACTTATCTCTCGGGGGAACCTTAAAGTATCGTACAGGAGAAATTATCCGCTTCAACCTGGCGATATATATTTACCCCTCCCCCCTCCCCCCCCGTTTCGTCCCTATTGTTTTTCTCCCCTTTCCACTCGGCACGCAACAATAAAGAATCATAAATGGCTCAAAATTAGAAACTATTCTCTTAGCTGGGAGATTTCGAATCTCGCAAGTTGAAAATTTTAAAAAGCTCGCAACTCCGCTCCGCGGAGTTTAACCTCGTGGGCGACAGAATGGGGCTCGTATAGTTCCTTCTTTTTGCATTCGCCACGTAGGAATATATCTGCACTTAGGCTAGTTGGCGCGTAATTATCTGGCGAGTGCGAGGGTCATGTCTCCAATTAATCCTGGATAAGCGCGACAATAACCCGGTATCGGCGGATTAGATACCAAGGGAGCTAAGATACCTCGACTGCATCGCTAATGCGGATATTCCTACCGTGGCTGGTGATTTCAGGGCTCCGCCCTGAAATCTGATGGAAATAACGTCCTCCCTTGGCCGACTGGCTCGGATCCTGGCGAGGATCCGAGCCAGTCGGCCAATTATTATTATCGGGTCGTGAATGAATTTGGCATCCGTTTCCAAAAATTCGGCAACTCGCTCAGCCGAGTATTTTCACTCTTGCGATGTGTGTCAATCGACTTTATTTGGCACGATATTCAAGTCCAAACAGAATTTGTTTAGCGTAATGCGAACTAATTAACATATATAAATAGAATTGATTCTATAAATAAATGTATTTACTTTAGACGGTAAGTGCGATAACTCTTTCGAATAACATTTAATATTTGCCAATAATTAAAGTGATCGATAATAATTACGCGCGAGATAATATATATCCAGACGATGAAATTAATTACAAATTTCAAATTTACGTGGCCGTAACAAAGTTACAGCCATTTCATCTCTTACATCTTAGTTTAGGAGTTATGATTGTTGCATAATTTAAAAATGGCGTTAATTCCGATAATTAATTGCGTTTCAACTGCGTGATTATTTCAGTGAGATGCGCTAATTACTCCACTAATTGTGAGTTACACGATAAATTCGAGTTGCAACTTTAGATTCCAAAATCTATACGTTTATATATCTATTATTTTAGAATAATTGAGATAATCCAACGACAAATATGGATTTCATGTTGAATAGTTTAATCCATATTATTAAAATTGTATATACATCTAAAAAAAACGAATCGAAACGAAGTGCAATCAAAGTTAAGTCGTACCGATGATTTTTTTAAGAAGATTATTAATAAATAATAATTCTCGAGTTTTCTCGAGAAAGAGAATTTTAAATTTCTTGCGTTTTTATGTCCCCATCCTTAAAGCGACTTTAATCTCCCAATCTCTTACTGTTGCGTTAGAATACAATAATACTTTCGCTCTTTACAAATAATTCTCTTGATCCTTTTGATCCAGCGGGATTCCCTTTTTCTTAAATAACTCCAATTATTTTTCTCCTTTTCAGAATTACTTCAGAATTACACAGTTTACGCTTATTAAGAATTCAATCTAATTCATAGCCATTTCTATAGAAATTTACCTTCTGATCGTTACTGTACCGTACTGCAAATATTTGTCTTGTTAAAGATTCCGTTGCAACCTCATTGTTGAGTCCGACCGCATACAAAAGAATTGTCCAATTACGAAAGTTTAGTCGTTTTTTTATAACTTTTACGCAATAATCTCTGTGCCCGTATGTAAAATCGACGGCGCTACGATGTGCGATGTTATTAGCAAAGTCTATCATAATGTAACTCAAAGAGCGCACCGGCATGCACATGTGTATACGTACAAGTGTATGATTAGAGACTAAAAGGGATACGGCGTTTTCGCGGGTGTCCAGAAGGGAGAGGGAACCATCGTCGGCCTGGTAGACGAACTTTTCGTAAGTTATCCAAGTCGGTGGTAACCTGTGCGGTGTCAGGTCATCACGAAGGCACTCGTCTAACGTAAGACGTCTGCCGCTCCAATAGAGAAGCTCGTCGACGTACCTGTAATAAAAAAAAAAAATAAAATAATAATAAAAAAGCTAATTTACAAAAGCAGTACAGATTTGAAAGTGAAATGGGGGTCGAAATAAATTACTTTATTGATCTTGATTATAAGAGGCACATACGTCGATGGATTTATGTTGTTAATAAAAGAGAGAAAGAGATTTTATGTCATTTTCTTGCCTGTCATATATCTTGTATACGAATTGCGAAGGGATAGTTAAAAGTTAAAATAAAGAGGAAGACAAAAGGAGAAAAGGTAACGCGAACTCACCCGAGAAGATAAATTGCCGTGACGATGCCAGCGATAACGAAACCGATGACCAGCAGTGAGAAAACTATACTCCGCCAATTGTGGCCGCCCTCCGCGTACGTTAAATCCTGTGGAAGAAGACAACGTCGTACGTAATTATCGGTCGATCCACGAGATCGATTTGCAAGCTATAGTGCAAAAGCGGATTGGATACGAGAGAGAGCATGCAAGTCACGAATATATATAGAGAGGAGAGGTCCAGGGGATAATTAGAAAGTTTAACAACAACGAGAAACGAACGATCAGTAACACTAAAGACCCTGCATCTAGAATATCTACGTATTCCATTCGCGTTCTCCGCTACGTTTATCCCGCGAGATCGCAAATATAGTATAATATAACACATAAAAAAATATACGTATATGTGGGCATATCACAATCATAATATTTTAATAACATATCAATTATATATATGTAAAAATGTGTTTTTGTGTGTGTGTGTGTGTGTGTGTGTGTGTGTGTGTGTGTGTGTGTGTGTGTGTGTGTGTATATATATATAA